ACTTCTGGAATCAAGCCGTCCAAAGGCAAGATATATAGAATTTACAATAATTGTATGTCTTGCCTTTGGATGGCTTGATTCCAGAAGTTGTACGCTGTGTACTCAGCACACAGCCCTTAATAACTTTGCATTGTTCCCAAGAAGGAGGGAACTTATTTAGAACATAGAACATCAGGGCTGGAAGGGACCTTGGAGGTCTTCTAGTCCAACTCCCTGCTCAGGCAGGAGATCCTACACCAGGGGTGGCGAACCTATGGCACGCGTGCCAGAGGCGGCACTCAGAGCCTTCTCTGTGGGCACGCGCACCGCCGTCGCCAGCAGCAGGTCCATCAGGCCGTCACCGCCGCCTGGAGCAGGAGCCCCGCCCGGCACAAAGGAGGCGAAGCGGCCGGCTAGCAACCTCGAGTAGAGGTGGTAGAGCAGAGGTCACCAACCACTGTCGATTGGTGGACTGGAAGAAAAGGGAGGGGGAAGCATTTTACATGTGTGCCTGCGCGCATGGGGCCACGAGCACGCACGCACTGCAAATGGGACGGGGCTAGGGCCTGCGTGATACTCACTAGCCCGGCCCCGTTTTTGCATGGTACAGCACCTTGTATCTGCACCCCGCGGCACGGTGGCGGCCGTTTTTGCGCCTTGCAACACAGTGGCCCATTTTTGCGCCCCCAGTTTTTGCGTGCCAGAGGCGGCACTCAGAGGCGCCTCCCTGGCCCCCCCTCCCTTGAGGGCACCACAATGCTGATGCAGCCCTGGCACTTTGCGATAAATAAGTGGGTTTTGGGTTGCGGTTTGGGCACGCGGGTCTCTAAAAGGTTCGCCGTCACTCTCCTACACCGTTTCAGACCGATGGCGGTCCAGTCTCTTCTTGAAACCCTCCAGTGATGGAGCACCCACAACTTCTGGAGGCAAGCGGTTCAACGCCACCCTCTGTGGAAGGGGGGGGTGTCTCCTCATTGTAATGCAAGGGAGTCTTTTGCTTCTAGTGCTTCTCGATCCGCTTAATTACAACGTATTTGCAAAACGGGTGTTTTGCTTTCCGTTCCCACTTTGGAGCCAGCTGGTAATCAACTTGCCAATTGCAGGGGAAGATTTGCGGCTGAAGTTTGGAAGGAGGGAGGCCTTGTCTCGGAGAAGATGGAGAAATGACAGCAGGCAAACATCACCCTTCACCTTCTAATTTTTCGGCTGCTCGAAATGAAGCAGTGGGCCGCCAGCAAAGTAGGGGGAAAAAGCACAATGAGTTCGCGACGTGGGGTTTCCTCCGCACAAACAAACAGCTCCAATAAGCTACGTTTCCTTCGGTTTGGGTGGCACGGGCGGGATGCAATCCTAGGTTAAGCTGTAGGCAGGCCGATGTTTACTCCTTCCCAGGGATAAAAAGGGGAGATTTAATTTATATACAGTGGTAGCAATAGCACTTCCCAATAGCACTTATATACCGCTTCACAGTGCCTTTACAGCCTTCTCTAAGCGGTTTACAGTGCCAGCGTATTGTCCTCAGCAATCTGGGTCCTCGTTTTACCGACCTCGGAAGGACGGAAGGCTGAGTCAACCTTGAGCCGGTCAGGATCGAACTCCTGGCGGTGAGCAGTGAGTTAGCCTGCAATCCTGCATTCTAATCACTGCGCCTCCACGGCTCTTCCTTCCTTCCTTCCTTCCTTCCTTCCTTCCTTCCTTCCTTCCTTCCTTCCTTCCTTCCTTCCTTCCTTCTTTCCTTCCTTCTTTCCTTCCTTCCTTCTTTCCTTCCTTTCCTTCCTTCCTTCCTTTCCTTCTTTCCTTCCTTTCTTCTTTCTTTCCTTCCTTCCTTCTTTCCTTCCTTCTTTCCTTCCTTCCTTTCCTTCTTTCCTTCCTTCTTTCCTTCCTTCCTTTCCTTCTTTCCTTCCTTCCTTCCTTCTTTCCTTCCTTCTTTCCTTCCTTCCTTCTTTCCTTCCTTCTTTCCTTCCTTCCTTCCTTCCTTCCTTCTTTCTTTCCTTCCTTCCTTCTTTCCTTCCTTCCTTTCCTTCCTTCCTTCCTTCCTTCCTTCCTTCCTTCCTTTCCTTCTTTCCTTCCTTCCTTTCTTCTTTCTTTCCTTTCTTCCTTCTTTCCTTCCTTCCTTCCTTCCTTCTTTCCTTCCTTCCTTCCTTCCTTCCTTCTTTCCTTCCTTCCTTTTTTCCTTCCTTCCTTTCCTTCTTTCCTTCCTTCCTTCCTTCTTTCCTTCCTTCCTTTCCTTCTTTCCTTCCTTCCTTCCGACTTAGCAATAGCCCTTAGACTTATAGCACTGATGATGTTACCTAGTCAGGTAATGAAACGTCTGCAAGGAAGCAACCAAGCTCAGAGAGCACCCAGGACCCTGCAGATGATCTCCTCCTCCTCCTCTTCCTCCTCTTCCTCTCCCCCCCAAATCTCACTCCCTTCTAGCACTGATGATGTTACCTAGTACGGGTCATGAAACGTCTGCAAGAAAACCACCCAGCTCAGAGAGCACCCAGGACCCCACAGTTGTAATTGCCCTTCTCTCCTTCCTCCATCTCGTCGTCGTCGTCGTCGTCGTCCTCCTCCTCCTCCTCCTCCTCCCCCCCCCACAAAAGCCAATTCCTTCTAGCACTGATGATGTTACCCAGCTGGGTCATGAAACGTCTGCAAGAAAACCACCCAGCTCAGAGAGCACCAAGGACCCTACAGTCCTCGTCGTCCTCCTCTCCTCCCCCCAAATCTCACTCCCTTCCAGCACTGATGATGTTACCTAGTCTGGGTAATGAAACATCTGCAAGAAAGTCGCCCAGCTCAGACAGCACCCAGGACCCCCTCAGGCAAAATGCACGGGGCATTTTGGACCCCTGGGCTGTCTTGTAGAAAGCGAGCGAGGTCCCCCCCCCCGTTGCAATGACAGGCGGGACTTCCGAGCTGGTCCGCGGTGGTCCCAGCAAAGGAATCGCATGGTAAGAGACCAACCACCATCTTTGAATCTGGCTTCTCGAACGGAATAATTGGCCGGGCGATCAAAGTCAGCCTGGAGCCGAAGAGATTTGGAGACGATGGCGGGGGAAAAAGGTTTTAAGACAGTGGTTCTCAACCTATGGGTCGGGACCCCATTTGGGGTCGATCGACCATTTCACGGGGGTCACCAAGCAAGGCTGTCCGCCATTTTTTTTGTCCGCCATTTTTTTGTCTGCCATTTTTCCCCCCTTTTCCGGCGGGTGCCTTACCTCCCTTGGGCTGGGCCAGCTGGTGGTCGGCCTGCTCCGTCTCTGCCGCTTGCCAGCTACGCCTCGGCCAGCGCAGGGAGCGGAACCACGCATGTGCGGCGCTCCCGGGCAGGGAAAGTCCTCGACTTACGACCGGTTGGGTAGTCCTCGACTTACGACCGGTTTAGTCCTCGACTTACGACCGGTTTAAGTCCTCGACTTATGACTGGTTTAGTCCTCGACTTACGACCGGTTGGGGTCACGGCATTAAAAAGGTTGAGAACCACTGTTTTAAGACGAGGATTAGAGGAAGGGCCGCTAGCTTTGCACTGAGGAAGGGACAACGGTAAACTTTGATCGCTCTTTGCCTTTGATGCCACCTTCACCTTCCTCTGGTGGGGAGAGAAGGCGGACAAGGTTTCTGCCAGGACAGAGGACAATTTAGCTTCTTCTCCTGCATGACATCAGCGATCAAATTGCAGCCAACCACTTCTTTTTTTTTTTCAAATTGTCTGGAGCTCAAAACGAGTCTCTCGGTGCCCAACCGTCTTTCGGGCTCCTCCTATAAATTGACACGAGCGACCTTGCTGCACGATCGCGTTTCAAGGACACAGACAAACACACACACACACGTGAAGGAGGGATGTCAGCAACGGCTCTTCCTATTGAACGGTTAATAGAGTCCTATGAGCCTCAGTGCTAAATTGTCTTTGTGTTTGTGTGTGTGTAAGGGGTAAATCCAGGGGTTTAAAAACAAAGGTAGTCCTTGTTTTACAACCATTTGTTTAGTGACCGTTCGAAGTTACAGGTCGATGCTCACGTCGGTTCTCGTCTGACTCCTTGAATTAAGAATGAAGGAACCCTAAAAAAAACTTGATAGTAGTTCAGAATCTCCTTCAGATGTTTCCAGTTATTTCCTTCAGAAGGTTCCAGTTATTTCCTTCGGAAGGTTCCAGTTATCTCCTTCAGAAGGTTCCAGTTATTTCCTTCAGAAGATTCCAGTTATCTCCTTCAGAAGATTCCAGTTGTCTCCTTCAGAAGGTTCCAGTTATTTCCTTCAGAAGGTTCCAGTTATTTCCTTCAGAAGGTTCCAGTTATCTCCTTCAGAAGATTCCAGTTGTCTCCTTCAGAAGGTTCCAGTTATCTCCTTCAGAAGGTTCCAGTTATTTCCTTCAGAAGGCTCCAGTTATCTCCTTCAGAAGGTTCCAGTTATCTCCTTCAGAAGGTTCCAGTTATCTCCTTCAGAAGGTTCCAGTTATCTCCTTCAGAAGGCTCCAGTTATCTCCTTCAGAAGGTTCCAGTTATTTCCTTCAGAAGGTTCCAGTTATTTCCTTCAGAAGGCTCCAGTTATCTCCTTTGGAAGGTTCTAGTTATTTCCTTCAGAAGGTTCCAGTTATTTCCTTCAGAAGGCTCCAGTTATCTCCTTCTAAAGGCTCCAGTTATCTCCTTCAGAAGGTTCCAGTTATTTCCTTCAGAAGAATCCAGTTATTTCCTTCAGAAGAATCCAGTTATTTCCTTCAGAAGGCTCCATTTATCTCCTTCAGAAGGTTCCAGTTATCTCCTTCAGAAGAATCCAGTTATCTCCTTCAGAAGGTTCTCCCAGGATGTGAATTTGCAAAGGATCCATCCATCTATAAAATCTTCCCAATTCTCTCTGATATTGCCCTAAATCTAGCCATCTTTCCTAACTAAGATTAGGTTTTAATTTCTGATATGTCATTCCCCCCCAAATGCCCAAGAAGGAGCATTTTTTTGCCCATGGGAAATCCTGACTGCATCGACCTAACCCAACATGGTGATATGAATGGATGGATGGCTTCCGTGGTTGGCCATCTCTTATTGATCTAAGAAGATACTCAACTTACCAAGATCCATATCTGCAGCTTTCGGCCGATGAGAACAGGGCACGTTCTTGAAGATGGCATCAAGGAACTTCTCCTTCACTTGAGTGATGGTGTCACAGTTCAAGATCTTCACTGGAATCTCAGGGCTGTTCACGTTATCAGGGTTCACGCAACTAAGGACCTGGAGGGGGTTGGTTGAAAGAAAGCAAACGTAAGACTGAGGTCTAGAACTTCACATGTAATATATTTGGGTGGGGTTTGAACAAAATTCTAGATTAGGTCAAAGTGCCGATGGAAATATATCAGTTTAATACATTGTAGGCAACCCAACCATATGTGGACAAAGCCATTGTATGGTTTATGTCTCAACCTGTTATCTGAACACCACCCGTTGTGTTTCGTTCGTTCAGATTTAACATGTTATGTGACTGTGTCTGGAGATTCTCAGTCATCCAGGTTATGGTTATCCCAAAGGTGCTTTTTCAAGAGGCAACTAGACTTTGTTTTTTTGTTTTGTTTTTTGTGAGAAGGCTCCACACCCATCTCCACCACTCAGGTGACCCTGAGGACACAGACAAACATCCAAGTGGCCTCAACGACTCTCTAAAACAGGGCTTTTCAACCACTGGTACGGGTACCACCTGTGGTACATTGGCACCTGGCAGGTGGTACACGACCATCCTAGAAAAGTGGTAGCAGGGGAGGTGAATGAGCTGAACCGGTGGCAGCACCGCACAAGCCTGAGCGAGAGATGGCTGGAGGTGCAGGACTATCAGGGCTCAGCGGAAGCGCCAGGATCAGTGCCGCTTTCCAGCTGATCGGCGCTTCTTTGGGGCTGTCGGCTCAGTGGAAGCTCCAGGATCAGCGCCAGGCTCCAGCTGGAGCTTGGCGCTGATCCTGGTGCTTCTGCTGAGCCCTGAAGAAGCACTAATAAGCTGGAAAGCAGCACTGATCCTGGCGCTTCCGCTGAGCCCAGAAGATGCGCCGATCAGCTGGAATGTTGCAGCCTCTCCAGGGTCTTGTGATTTACATTCAGATGCTTGGCAACTGATTCATACTTATGACGGTCACAGTGTCCCAGGGTCATGTGAAGTGACCAAAACCTGCTGCAACCCCCCAGCAGACGGGGGGGGGGGAAATAAAAACCAAACACCCCCCACCCCACCCCCGCTGCCAATCTTCAACAGAAATGCTCACAACAATGAAAACCTCGGACAGGAGGAAGAGCGCGGCCGGGCGGGCAGGCAGGTGTCTTGCTCGGCTGTGTCTTGGGGGAGGGCACTTTTTTCAGTGCCACTGTAGCTTCGAACAGTCACTAAGCGAACTGTTGTAAGTCGAGGACTACCTGTACCATCATTTTTTTCCTTTTTTGTGGGGGGTCAGCAAGTTTTTGACACCTTGCTAGGTGACTGGTGGTACTCGGATGTTGCCATATCCTAAAAGTGGTACAATCGGTGAAAAGGTTGAAAAGCCCTGCTCTAAAAGACTGCAAATGACCAGTTGTCTGCAAGGAGTATAAATCTTTCCATTCCCCACCATCCAGTCAGAGCTGAAGAAGCTTCTTGGATGAGAAGCAAAACGTCTTCGAAGGAAAAACAAGAAAGTCCAATTGCCTCTTGAAAAAATATCTTTGGGTCAAGATGCCCTTCCTCACAAACAGCACCACCTACCACAACTGCAGCTGCATCTTAGGCCACAACAATTTCACACACGTGGTTCCTCTGCCTGCTCTCTGATTGCAAAAAAAAAACCTTTCATTTTTGCTGTTTACTCGCAGGAAGCAGCTGTCCGGAGTACATGCGGGCGATCTCATGCTCTCTCTGTATTCCAGAGAGATTTTAACTGCTAGAATTCATCCTCTGATTTTCAAATTCTGTCAATCCTGGTCCTTCAAGGCCAGGGGTGTCAAACTGCCAGCCCATGGGCCGGTTGCATCATGCAGAGCTACACCCACCCCAGCTCCGACAATGCGAAAAATGTCACGATATGTCGTGTGACGTGGTAAGTTTGACACCTGTGTTCAAGGCCATCTAGTTTGCCACGATCCTCACTATGAGCCAGCCGTGTGCTGCAGCTGCCAAAAAAGCCAACACAGTGCTGGGCTGCATTAACAGAGGGATAGAATCAAGATCACATGAAGTATTAATACCACTTTACAAGGCCTTAGTAAGGCCACACTTGGAAATCTCCATCCAGTTTTGGTCACTACAATGTAAAAAAGATGCTGAGACTCTAGAAAGAGTACAGAGAAGAGCAACAAAGATGATCAGGGGACTGGAGGCTAAAACATATAAGGAAAGGCTGCTGGAATTGGGTATGAAGAGAAGGACGAGGGGGGACATGATAGCAGTCTTCCAGTATCTCAGGGGCTGCCCCAAAGAAGAGCCAGTCAAGCTATTCTCCAAAGCGCCTGAAGGCAGGACAAGAAGCAACGGATGGAAACTAACCAAAGAGAGAAGCAACCTAGAACTAAGGAGAAACTTCCTGACAGTGAGGACAATTAACCAGTGGAACAACCTGCCTCCAGAAGCGGTGAATGCTCCAACACTGGAAGTTTTTAAGAAGAGACTGGACAGCCATTTGTCTGAAATGGTGTAGGGTTCCTGCCTGAGCAGGGGGTTGGACTCGATGACCTCCAAGGTCCCTTCCAACTTTATTATTATTATTATTAAGGCGACTGCGGTTCATGAGAGCTTATGCCTTCTTGATAAAATGTGCCGGTCAGAAAAAGTGATATCAAACTTAGGATTTATTGCTACCGTACGTTAATGCAATGCTTTCTCCCCGCGACTGAGTATATCAAATGCCGTTCACAATAACAAAGCAATCTAGATTCTGCCAACTTTACCGCAAAGAAAAGAGGATTATGTTATGGAATCTTGAAAGGTGGCTGCGTGTGTTCTGTAGCCCCTATTTGATCAGCGTGTGTTACGACAGATCCTCCCCAGTGCCTTTGATCCCCTTTAGTATTCTCTTTTGATTTAAAGGAAAGCTAGCTAGCAGTTATGAGATATGAAAGGAATGTTCCTTGGCTGGGTGTTCTGCAAGTGTTTTTGCAAATGTTCCATTCTTGTTCCCAAAGCTCGGAAAATTCCATTACCCGGAGATTTTCTCAGCTCAAATCTCCCAAATCTTTGAGAGGAGAAAGGGAAGAAGAAGAGGAGGTGGAGAAGAGGGGTCTAACATTAATAAATTCTTCAGAAATAGGTTGGAAAGAATCCGAGAATTCGAAACGAAGTATTGTAACACCACCTAGTTACCCTTTTCTGACATGAGCAGCGATCATCAATGGAAACGGGCATAGTTGAAGTCGTAAGTCGAGGAATACCTGTATCGCGGGATCCAATCTGGGGACCAGAGATTTTGAGCTTTCGGACTCATCCTGGAGCCCATCTGCAGGGAACATCTCTCTAGCAGAGTGCTGTTCTCTCTCTCTCTCTCTCTCTCTCACTCTCTCTCTCTCTCTCTCTCTCTCTCTCTCTCTCTCTCTCTCTCTCTCTCTCTCTCTCTCTCTCTCTCTCTCTCTCTCTCTCTCTCTCTCTCTCTCTGTGTGTGTGTGTGTGTTTATAGGGCTTGTTGTAAGTGGCCTTTTAAGATATTGATTGGGGTGTGTGGATGAATGGCTTTTAAGTGGAAGCTAAAACATATAACTGGAGGCTAAAACATATAAGAACGGTTGCTGCAATTTAATGAAAAGAAGGATGAGGGATGACATGAGAGCAGCCTTCCAATATCTCAGGGGCTGCCCCAAAGAAGAGGAAGTCAAGCTACTCTCCAAAGCGCCTGAAGGCAGGACAAGAAGCAACGGATGGAAACTCATCAAGGAGAGAAGCAACCTGGAACTAAGGAGAAACTTCCTGACAGTGAGAACAAAATAACTAGTGGAACAACCTGCCTCCAGAAGCGGTGAATGCTCCAACACTGGAAGTTTTCAAGAAGAGACTGGACAGCCATTTGTCTGAAATGGTGTAGGGTTTCCTGCCTGAGCAGGGGGTTGGACTAGATGACCTCCAAGGTCCCTTCCAACTCATTATTATTATTATGGATCATCGCACAGTCAGCCAGATGTTCAGACTGGATTTGGCCTTTTTGTCTACCTATCGAGTCCTTCCCAAGGACCTGGGATAGGCAGATGTGGATGTTTGATGGTATTACAGATATCGTCGCAGGATGGAAGCAGTTCCTAGTAAGGCCGCCTTTTGCAATTGACAATCATCATCATCATCATCATCATCATCATCATCATCATTAACATTATTATTATGTCATTAGCTGTCGTTTGCTTGTGTTGTCCCCCAAAAATGGGGCATTTTTTTTTTTTGCCCCAAACTGGAAGAAATTTCTGGTCTGGGGCAAAAAAAATACTGTAAATGGTGGCCACGTGACTGGAGGCTCTTGCAAAGAGATGTCAACAGAGGCCATTTGCCAAGCTCTCAAAATGGAGTCACGTGAAACAAAAGCTTTGGGGGGAGTCCGTGAGCCCTTCAAAAACGGTCGCTAAGCAACCGCTGGCCAATGGCGGACCCCCTGCCAAGCCAAGAAGGTGCGATCGTCCCTGTGTGAGGGACGCTCCGCCCCCTTTTTAACCTGCGTCGTGGCAGCGGTGAAAACGGGGCGGGGCTCCGATTCCCAGGACGGCGGGCGCCATCTTGACTTTTTTGACCGCCCCCTGGTTGTTTCGATCGTTCTATCATGCGAGGAATTAAAAAAAAAAAAAAAAAAAGCTCTGGGAGAACGCAGCACGAGATACACCGGAAAGCTATGGAATCTCCTTTTTTTAAATAAAATAAAATAAAATAAATTTTTTTTAAAGAAGAGACTGGACAGCCATTTGTCTGAAATGGTGTAGGGTTCCTGCCTGAGCAGGGGGGTTGGACTCGATGACCTCCAAGGTCCCTTCCAACTTTATTATTATTATTATTATTATTATTATTATTATTATTATTATTATTATTATTAAATGGCATGTAAGTTTTAAAATCTTATTATTGGAATTACTGTTCAAGGGGAGGAAAACCCACTTCGGAGTCTCCCTCCCTCCCTCCCTCCGCAGCCCGCCAAGACTGTGGCTAAGAGAAATGCTTTTTTCCTCTCTTTTTTTCTGCCTTTAATCTCCCCAGTGAAATAGATCTCAATATATCTGCTCAGATTCCTATCAGGAGGGCTTCGCCGGCTCTTGAGATGTTAAGAGGCAAAAGCAGATTAACATCAAACGCGCCAGCCGGAGGAGGAAGGAAGGAGCGAAGCTTCTAGCCGAGGAGAAATGCAATCAGTGACCCAGAGACCTTTTTCCTTTCCTTTCCTTTCCTTTCTCCTTCTTCCCTTCCTTCCTTTCCTTTCCCCTCTTTTTCCTTTCCTCTTTTCTTTTTTCCTTTCCTTTTTTCTTCCTTCTTCCTTTCTTTTCCTCCCTTCGTCCTTTCCTTTCTTTTTTCCTTTTCCCTTTCCTTTTTCCTCCCTTCCTTTTTTCTTTCTTTTCCTTTCCTTTTCCTCCCTTCTTTCTTTCCTTCCTTTCCTTCACTTCCCTTTCCGTTTTCCTCCTCCTTCCTTTCCTTTCTGTTCCTTTCTTTTTTCCTCCCTTCGTCCTTTCCTTTCTTTTTTCCTTTCCTTTTTCCTCCCTACCTTCCTTTTTTCTTTCCTTTTCCTCCCTTCTTCCTTTCCTTTCTCTTTTCTTTTCTTCTTCCTTTCCTTCACTTCCCTTTCCGTTTTCCTCCTTCTTCCTTTCCTTTCTGTTCCTTCCTTTTTTCCTCCCTTCATCCTTTTTTTCTTTTTTCTTTTTCCTTTCCTTTTTCCTCCCTTCCTTTTTTCTTTCTTTTTCTTTCCTTTTCCTCCCTTCTTCCTTTCCTTTCTCTTTTCCTTCCTTCTTCCTTTCCTTTCCTTCACTCCCCTTTCCGTTTTCCTCCTTCTTCCTTTCCTTTCTGTTCCTTTCTTTTTTCCTCCCTTCGTCCTTTCCTTTCTTTTTTCCTTTTTCCTTTCCTTTTTCCTCCCTCCCTTCCTTTTTTCTTTCTTTTCCTCCCTTCTTCCTTTCCTTTCCTTTCTCCTTTCCTTTCCTTTTTCCTCCCTTTTTCCTTTCCTTTACTTTCTCCTTTCCTTTCCTTTTTCCTCCCTTTTTCCTTTCCTTTCCTTTCCCTTCTCTTTGTTCCTCCCTTCTTCCTTTACTTTCTCCTTTCCTTTCCTTTTTCCTCCCTTTTTCCTTTCCTTTCCTTTCCCTTCTCTTTGTTCCTCCCTTCTTCCTTTCCTTTCTCCTTTCCTTTCCTTTTTCCTCCCTTTTTCCTTTTCTTTCTCCTTTCCTTTTTCCTCCCTTTTTCCTTTCCTTTCCTTTCTCTTTGTTCCTCCCTTCTTCCTTTCCTTTCCTTTCTCCTTTCCTTTCCTTTTTTTCTTTTCTTTTCTTTTCCTTTCCTTTCTTTCTTTCTTTCCTTCCTTATTATGCACCTGCCTCTCACACAGAGCCATTCTCCTCTCCCACCAGTCCACCAAATCTTAAATTGCCAAATCTAGCCGGATGCAATTCAGGGACGAGGGCCGTCTACTTGACACCATATAGGCCGATATCTCCAAGCTGTTTGTTTATTGCATCCCCTCCTTGTTTTCTTGCAGCCCCAAATAATAATAATAATAATAATAATAATAATAATAATAATAATAATAATAATAATAATAATAATAATAATAATAATAGTAGTAGTAGTAGTAGTAGTAGTAGTAGTAGTAGTTGTTGTTGTTGTTGTTATTATTATTATTATTATTATTTTAACTTGAACCTTTTTCTTTTGGGTCCCAAAGGGAGCACCGTGTCTCCCCCTCCCCGGCCCCAATATTTTCCCTCTCGAGGCACCCACCACTCACCAAGGTCTTGTAGTCGATCTGCTGCCGGATGAGTTTGTCCTCGCTTAAGGAATAACGGGCTTCTCCCGTGATGGCATCTATAGGGCCCTTCTCCATTTGCTGCTTGATGGCGCAGAAGAGGGAAAAGAGAGGCTCGCCAGCACATTCCTGCAGCGAGGAAAGAAAGGGGATGAGGGCAAGAACTGGGGAGAAAGCTGCGGATAAACATTTCTTGCTGGGGTCCTCGGCGCGCTCCGAGCTGGCTTGTTATTTTGCAGACGTTTCATGACCCTACTAGGTAACATCATCAATGCTAGAAGGGAGTGGGGTTTGCTCTCTGTTTGCATACTAGAGCATTGCCCTGCCAGTAATGTTGAGAGTGATCCTGGTGTCTCCTTGGTGAGCTACTCGTTTACGGTTCGATTATTTGCCTGATTTGGTAGTTCCTTGACTGAAGTGTTGTTTGCCGTTTGTTTGTCTGGTGTTAATCCCTGCTTATCTGGGTTCTCGTTTCTGTTGAGCAGTTTTTTGGTCCTTTTGTTTCCTTTTTTTTTTTTNTTTTTTTTTTTTAGCTTTTTTAACGGTCTCTTTTGAGGCACTCTTTCTTCCTGAGACACCATCTTGCCAGCAATCAAACCCCAAATAAGCAGGGATTAAACTCCAAGATTAACACCAGGTCAACAATCAAGAGGCAAACAACAGCCTAATCAAGGAAAGCACCAAAAAAAAAAGCAAAATCCACCAAAACTAACAGGGCAAGTCATTTGTATATAAACAGAGAGCAAAAATGACTCCCTTCTAGCATTGATGATGTTACCTAGTTGGGTCATGAAACATCTGCAAGAAAGCAACCAAGCTCAGAGAGCACCAAGGACACACACACACCCACAGTCCTCCTCTTCCTCCTGCAACTCCTCCTCCACTCTCTTCTAGCACTGATGTTGTTACCTAGTTGGGTCATGAAATGTCTGCAAGAAAACCACCAGGCTCAGAGAGCACCAAGGACCCCACAGTCCTCCTCCTCCTCCTCCTCCTCCTCCTCCTCCTCCTCCTCCTCCTCTTCTTCTTCTTTTTCTTTTTCTTCTTCCTCTTCCTCCTCCTCCTCCTCTTCTTCCTCCTCCTCTTCTCCAGAAACCCAACTCTTTTAGTACTGATGGTGTTACCTACTTGGGTCATGAAATGTCTGCAAGAAAGCAGTCAAGCTCACAGAGCACCAAGAACCTCACAGGCCTCCTCCTCCTCCTCCTCCTCCTCCTCCTCCCCACGAACCCAACTCTTTCTAGCACTGATAATGTTACCTAGTTGGATCATTTTCCTGTACGATATATCCTGTATTTTCCTGTACGATAGATCCGTTATTTGGATGTATTGCACTAAATCAAGACAGCCTTTGCCATGTCAGCAAAGCTGCAGCTTTGGGACATGCAACAAGACCTTGCAAACACCTACTAAAGGAGTAGAGTTTACACTGACAGCCAGCCTCTAATACGTAGATGGCTCTGCTCCTAAGCAAAGGGACTCTGTGCTCGCTTCAGTTCAATTTCCTTCCTTTCAGTCAATCAATTTCTCCAGCCTATTGAGATCCTTTGAATTTAACAGGCAAAACAACCAGGAGTAAATTCCCCATAGTAGGTTAAAAAAAAAGAAGGGGGGGGGGGCCACCCAGGAGATTACAACACAGAAAGTGCTGACTCCCACCGTCTTCCCAATCAAGCTTGATTTTCAATCGTTGATTGCTTGATTCTCAGCCTAGCTTGATTGTTAATCATTTTCTGCTCGGCTCTCAATCAAGCTTGATTCTCAATTGTTTTCTGCTTGATTCTCAATCAATTGTTTTCTGCTTGATTCTCAATCAATTGTTTTCTGCTTGATTCTCAAATCAATTGTTTTCTGCTTGATTCTCAATCAATTGTTTTCTGCTTGATTCTCCGTCAAACAGAAAGCAATATCCTAATTAAAGCACTACCGAGAAGGAAATCACACCCTCAACCAAGACTGGCAGGGCCAGCTAATGTATATAAACAGGGAAAACACTCCGTAGCACTGATGGTGTTACCTAGTTGGGTCATGAAAGGTCTGCAAGAAAACTGCCAAGCTCAGAGAGCATCCCACTCCCTTTAGCACGGATGATGTTGTCTAGTTGGGTCATGAAACATCTTTAAGAAAATAACCAAGCTTAGAGAACACCAAAGACCTCACAGTGGTCCTCCTCCTCCCCCTTCTCCTTTTCTCCGCAAACTCCTCTCCCTTCTAGCACTGATGATGTTACCTAGTTGGGTCATGAAATGTCTGCAAGAAAACAACCAAGCTCAGAGAGCATCA